GCAGGCCCTGCAGACCAGATGTGTTGGGTTGAGGGTAGAAGAGGCAGCTCGGGAAGCCCATGACCCTGGAGGCCCAGAGGCCCCGTCTCACAGATAGGAAACAGGCTCAAGAATGTGTTCCTTGGGCGCCCCGGTGTGCCAGGCATGGAGGGAAAGGGGCAACACGAGACTTCATTTAGCTCCCAGCATCGTCCCTTGAGTGAGCGAGGTGCTGTGGTGCTCTCCGTTTTTCAGACAGCTTAGAGGTCATGTCGCTTATCCCAGGTCCACTCCGGGGAGTGTACAGGGAAGGTCAGACCAAGCTATGAGACTTCCAACTCCGTGTCCTTCCTCCTCCCTGCTGCCCATCTGAGCCCCTGGGGCCTCCCTTCCAGCTCGGCCCCTTCTGCTGTCCTCTGGGATCTTCCCTTGGGCAAGCCAGCCAGTCTCTAGAGCAGTGGTTCTCAACCTTCCTAATGCCACGACCCCTTAATACAGTTCCTCATGTGGTGGTGACCCCTCAACCATAAAATTATTTTTGTTGCTTCTTCATCGCTGTAATCTTGCTACTGTTATGAATTGGGCAACCCCTGTGAGAGGGTCATTGGACCCCCAAAGGGGGTCTCGACCCACAGGTTGAGAACCGCTGGCCTAAAGTCTTCTCAGCGGGTCAATTGAGAGGTTAAGCAGGGCAGACTTGGTCTCAGTATCCTGCTCAACCCTGTGAAGAGGGTATGACATATATCCTGTTTTATAGACGAAGAGACTGAGGCAGGGTGTCTGAGGTCACAGGTCTTGTAAAAGGAATCACCTGTGAACAGAACTTAGGGCCTTGCCTGGGCAGGGAGGACAGGGGCCAGGTAGGCAGGCCCTGAGCCTCCCGGAGCTCTGGGCTGCCATCCTGCGTCTCCAGTGGGCCGGCCGGTGCTGAGCCAGCCCCTCTCTGCTCTCCCAGCTCCTTCCTCACATCCCCCCGATGGTGGCCTCTCTGCTCAAGGAGGACTCGAACTCGGGGAGCAGCTGCCTGGAGCAGCTGGCAGAGCTGGTGCACTGCATGGTGTTCCGGTTCCCAGGCTTCCCGGACCTGTACGAGCCCATCATGGAGGCCATCCAGGTGAGCGACAGTCCCCGTCTTTGCACCCCGCCCTGCAAGGGCGCCAGTGCTGGCTTCTCTGCCCCCCACCCCCACCTCCACCCCATCACTTGGCCCCTAGCAGCTGCCCTTCCTTCACCCCCTCGGACCAGGCCCAGTGGGAGCCCCTCTCACGATTGCTCTGAGAGTTTGCATGGGTCCTCTGATAGTGCACACTTCTCTTGTTCTGCCAGCAGAGTCCCGCCTTCTTTAAGGCTCTGCTCAAGGGTCCCTTCCCCCCCACCCCCCCTCCCAAAACCTTCCCCGGTGACATTCAACAGCCTTCCTCCTGCACCAAGCTGGGTGAGGGCCGCTCTGGGCGCCCACAGCGCGGCTGCAGCACTTTGCCCCAGATGGGCTGTCTGTCGCCCCACCAGGCTTGTGAGCCCTAGGGACACAGGGATGGCTCCCAGCGGCTCCCAGGGCAAGCTGGGCACTGGGGACGGGCAGGAGACCAAGCAAACCCCTGCCTCAGAGGAGCTTGCTGCTTTGTGGGGAGCGAAAGGCAGATTTGTAACTGACCGGAGCAGCCTGTGAAGGGGCCGCAGAGCAATGAGGCACCCCAGCAGGGACAGCGCTGGCCCTGGGTGAGGCGGTGGCGGCTGCGAGGGAGACAGCTTGCTAACCAGGGCGGAGAGCTTGTGTGGAGCAGCCACCGCTAACGTTTGCAGAGCGCTACATTTGGCAGGGCTTGCTACCGGATCTTCTGTCTGCTCACACTCCCCAGAGCCCCGGGAGCAGACATAAAGGTTCCTTACTGCTATTTCCATTTTGTAGCTGAGGAAAAGGAGACTTGAAGAAGTTTCGCGACTCGTACAAAGTCAGTCGCGTGAGCAACGAAGCCAGGCCTGGGATTGCTGAGCCTACTGCAGAAGAGACAGGTCGGACCTGAATGGAAGATAGCTAGGCCGGTGGGGCTCTTTTCCAAATCTCTGACCCGACCGACCGCCCTTTCTGCAGTAGGGGAGACAGAAGAGCCTGGAAAGGGACCCACGACAAACCACAGAGACATGCTTGTTACGGTGTAACGCCGTCAAGTTGGGAAGAGTCCGAGGGAGTCCAAGGAGAAACAAAATTCCAGCCTGGTTAGGGACAGATGATGCTGTTCATCTCCAAGAGGCTGGGAGGCTGGTGAGTGAGAGGGCCAATCTCCGTCACCACGGGGCTTCACTGTCCTGCCTGGGGGAGAGGCGAGGGCCCAGGGAACGGTGGGCATGAAGACTTCCACATAAAGCCAAGCCCCTAGGAAGGCATTACTGTGAGTGAAAGAGTGATTTAAACAAAATATGCTCCCAAGTAGACATCAAGGAAACCACGTGCCGGACCTGGGATCTGGATTGAAAACACAAAAACAAGAACCCAAAACCTGCACCCAGTGGCCCACTCTCCTGTGAATGTAGGAGTTCAACTGTGTGGGCAGCTTTGGGACTGGCATCTCCAGGCTCAGCAGTGAACCTGGAGAGGGGCTGCACATTTCTAGGGCCCAGCTGAGACAAACACAGCGGCACAGACAAACTCCCACAGAAAAGATGGGTGGGTCATCAAACACACCCGGGAACCAGCCATCACGAGTTAAGCGCTGGCAGGGAGAAGAAACAGCCTCTGATGGCCGCCTCGGTTTTTCCAGCTTCACTTGGGAAAGGGTTTGTACAAAGCGTGACGCCCCCCGCCCCCCGCCACCCCAAGGGCTGTCCGGATAGACAGGTCATTAACATAGTGCTCCTGCAGTTGAATGCGTGCAGAGGACGGGACTGCTGCTTGTTGGGGATGCTGCCTCCGATTCCTGGCACTAGAAGCAGGCTGATCAAGAACTCTGAGGGCCGGGACCGCTCCTTTCTGCTGACTGGGGTTTCAAGCCGGTGGACGGGCTCATGTCCTGTCTTGTGTCCTCTGCCACGTAAATGTCTGAGTGGATGATGGACCGGCACAGCACCGTGAGTGCTCTGTGAGGAATGCTGTAACAGAAGTGGAGAGCAGAGTAGGAGGCTGTACCGGTCCTGCTGGGAACACAAGATGAGCCACCCAGGCTCTGCACACAAGTGGTGTGGCCGAATGGACGGCTGATCTGGAACGGTGGAAGGGGGACTGTGAAAGCCAGAGGCCTTTGGCTTAATCCTGAGCAAGGACCTGGGTGTTCAGAGGTTTTCGCCAGAGTACTCAGCAGAGGAAGTGGTGACCTCATGCAAAAGACCAGGCTTAGGGGTGGGCTAGAGACTGGTGGAACCCCCAGGTGATGGCCCTGAGGCCTGGCACGGAGCTCACCCCCAAGGCTCAATTTTCAATTAAACAACAGACAGGCCTGCAAGGTGAACTAGGAAGGTATGCACTCCTTAGAATAATCCACCCTCTGAGATCAAGGGCCAAGTTCAAAGGGTCAGGAAGGGAGGAGGGAGGAAGCGGGCCCGGATGGCATTCAATGAAGTTGGGAATAAATGAGTTGAGATCCAGCTTTTTAAAAAGAGTGGCGTGGACGACGGGAAGATGCCACTTCCCTGAAGGAGCCCCACACAAACCCAGTGAACACTTCACGGGTATAACCGCGGGCCCCTTTGAGCACATTGGAGGGCGGGCTTGGTTCGTGCTGTGGTTTTGACTTCTTGCTATAATCCAGTGAGAGGCGGTCTTTTGGAGAGCGCCGTCACCTGTGTCTAGGGCCGCCTCCTTGGAGCTCACACTCCCTGACACGTCGGTACCAGGTCAGGGAGCTGAGGCCCTTGCTCAGGTAGCCGTCCAAGGAGAACTTTCACAAGAGGAGCTTGAGAGCTCTCTTTGAGGTTCTCTCCCCCATTCTTGTTTGTTTTTGAACAGTTTCATCGGCACTTCATCCACAATGTAATACAATTCACTGATTTGTTCATCCAGAAGAGTGGTACAATTATCACCACCTGCAACTAGAACATTTTCTTCTTCCTTGTACTCACTGTTATTCGTGTAATTTGTTTTATTTTTTTCTAATTGTGGCAAAAATACACCCAGGAAACCATTCTCCAGTTCCCCAACTTCTCCATGTATAATTCAGTGCCATTGATTATACTTCGTGTTGCAGAGCCATTATTGATATCCTTTCCCCAATTATTCCACCATATGGACAGAAACTCAGTGTGCCCCAAGCAACAACCTTGGATGGCCCCACAAAAGTGCGTGCCTGCCTTGCCCAGAGGCAGGCGGCTCTTCTCGGCAGCGTCCCCACTGTGCTGTGGGTGCGGCTACAGCGAGCAAGTCCTCCTTTGAAGAGTGCTGGGTTGGCTTTGGGGTAGGAAAACGATAGTTGACTTTTCTAGTGCGGATTCTCCCCTGCCCCGCGATCACGTATTTATTGTGCAGTGCACACGCCGCGTGGGGGGTCTGCCGGCTGACTGTCTTCTTGGCTTTGTTCATGATGCGGGGTGGCAGGGTCGGGAAGGGAGTCTAGGAAGAACAAAATCCAGAGAGAGAGGTGTCTGAGCCGCCATCTTCCCGCGCCCCGTCTGGTAGCAGCTTGATTTTTAAACCGTCTCTGAGCGGTGCTTGAGTAATAGGTTAACAAACAGCACAGGGCACTGCTGTCAACTCACCTCTGACTCGCAGTGACCCCAGAGGCTGGTGTTGAACTGTCCTGTGGGTTTCTGAGACCGAAACTCTCTGGGAGTAGAAACCCTCTTCTTTCTCACAGGGGTTTTGAACTGCTGACCTTGCGGTGAGCAGCCCGATGCACAGCCGAGCAAAGGTGTGAAACCCCTGCTGGAAGCAAGACCTTCTGCACCAGCCAGCGTGTGTACGCTGGGGAGGCAAGCCCCTTGACAGCGGCTGGTGCGCAGCTCTGGAGCCTTGGACAAAGCTAGGCCATCGTGCGCGGGATTCGACGAGAAGAGTGGGGTGGGAGGACCGGAATCAATGCCACCTCAGTCCACAGCGATTACACGGCTCTGGGCTTAGGTATTTTTCTGGGAAATGTACCAGGACAAGAACTCGTGCTTGATAATACTTTTTTTTTTGGTGCAGCGGCTTCATGTGATAAAGGATAAAAGTGTGGGGGAAGCCTCTGACCCCCAAGCCTCTGACCAGGCCTCTCCCACCATCTCTTCCCGTTTGTAGGATCAGGTTCCAGGGCATTGACCCCGGCTCTCACAGCTGGCTCTGCAGACCTCTAAGGAGCAGGTGAAAGCGTGGGCCTCACTGTGGGCAAGCCCAGCAAAGTCTAGAATGCCCAACCAGTATCAGGCAGGTATATCCCCAAGTGGCTGGGGCACCAGCGTGGTTGGTGACTGCTTAGAGTGCACCCCATCAGGGACCCATCCTTCATTGACAAGCTCAATGCCCTCGGGAAAGTCTTTGTGTGTCTGAACCTGAGTTGTGGCACAAAAGACCACGTGGGAGGCCCATGTCAAGATGAGACCCTGGCATGAATCTGTGAGCAGGGGCTGTGCTAATAATGCCTTTTGTAAAGCTACCAAGCTGGACCCCAGGAGTGGGAGAATGAGAAAGTCCCCAAAGATGCTAGTCTGCTCCATCCCTGCCCACCCACCCCCAGCCCCCATCTCTCAAGTGTATTCCCTCAGGTCTCTGGGGGCTGAGAATCACTGCGGTTTGCACAGAAAGCTCGCTCACGGTGGGGGGTGCAGTTCAGTCCAAAGGGAAGCCCGAAGCTGGGGCCAGAGGATGGCTCCCCTCCAGGCTTTTGCCAGAGGTGAGACCACACCCCCTGCTTCTCAGAGGGCCCATTTTATACACAGCAGGATCCTATTCACAACTGTTCACAGGTGGATCCTTATCAGAAGGTCTCCCACCTTCTTATCAGATCCATGCAGGAAAGGTCATTTGGTGGGAGTTAGTTACATGGTACAGATTGCACCCTGATGGAAGGATCTGTTCTCTCCCCCTGAACGGTATCTTATTTATGTTTCTATGATCCGAGGCCTCCAGCGAGATGGCTCCAGCAGGCATTGGCTTCCTGCTAATCTTAACCAGCCAGGCTTTCCCCAGGCCGCTCCAGAAACAGTTTTCTCTCTCCTCTCAGCTGTAGCATATAATTCCTGACATCCATTGTAAGTGCTGGTAAGGAAGATAATGGTTAAATGAAGAAGGCAGCTCCGGTCACACTCTTGACTACGACCAGAACTCAATCTCATCACATTCCTGCTCTAGGAGAAAATGCCTCCCGAGTGGGACCCCAGCCACAGGCGTATCAAATCCAGATTAATTGTCATATGGCTGGAAGGGCCCTATCGGTTGAGTGTACCTCAGGGGCTGTTGGCACAAATCTGTGGAGCATGTGTGGGGTGCTGCGTTCAGGTGGATGTGGGGTAGGTGGTGGTGCAAGAAGGCTTCTCAGAAGAGGTCATGTTTTTCAAGCTGGCCTGGTGCTCACTGCCCTACCTGCTTGTGCCCTCACACCCAGGACCTGCACGTCCCCAATGAAGACCGCATCAAGCAGCTGCTGGGGCAGGATGCTTGGACCTCACAGAAGAGCGAGCTGGCCGGCTTCTACCCCCGGCTCATGGCCAAGTCAGACACGGGCAAGATTGGTTTGATCAATCTGGGCAACACATGCTACGTGAACAGCATCCTTCAGGCGCTGTTCATGGCTTCTGAGTAGGTGCTGGTCCCACCCCCTCTACTGCCCTTGCTTGTTGGGCTCCCTGGGGAGGAGTGCTGGAGGGGAGCTGGGAATGGAGTTGGGGGGTGGGTTTTTATCTTGCAGTGTGGGCATGACTCCCTGGGGCCTGTGGACACCAGAAGGGCAGGTGAGAGACTCCGGAGACCAGAGGTCATTGCCAAGGTTGTAGGTCAAGTAGGGTGAGCACTCAAGATGAAGCTTTGGGTGGGACTGCAGTGGAGGAGGGAGTTCCGCTCTGGGCTGGCCGTCACTGACTCCTCTCCAGGGGTCCAGCGGGCGTCAATGAGGTCTTCCAGGGCAAAGCACCCACCCTTTCCCCCCGGCATTAGAGCTCCCTTGTCAAACAGCCGAGTGAAGGCGAGCATGGAGCCCAGCTCAGCGACCTCCAGTCGATGGCCTCAAATGAGGGTCCTCTTGGTTCCCCACCAGTAGCAGGGTAGCACCCTAAATTCTAGGGCACCCTTTTGGTTTAGTGTTTCTGATTTCCATTCTTTTGCAGGCCACTGGTTTTGTAATACCTACTTAAAAATGGCTTACCAGAAAGATGGCCATGTGCTGGTACACTTGTAGCAATGTTCCAGCGCTCTAAAAGCATCCTCAGGTTCTGCACGGGCCACAGACACACCCAGCTACTCCCTGGACTTCGTCTGGAGAAATCTATGACCTATCTGCTCCTGGTTTCTCCCAGGACCTGGATTTGATGGGCTCCAGGGATGGTGGCCATCAGGGAGGGGCTCTTTCCTGCCTCCCTCTAAGTAGGAGCTAGGCCAGCTCTGCAGCGGTCTCTGCTCTCAGAACTTCCCCGCCGTCACCGTCACCTGAAGGCAGGGTAGTAGGAACTATGAGCTGTGGAGGGCAGAGGGCGGAGAAAGGCGGACATTCTGAAGGCTGTTTTCTTGACAGGCAGGGGGCCTGCCAGAAGGGACACCTTAGAGCCCAGGAGTAACAGGACCTTTACACAGAGTCCTTGAGCTGGAGGGCTGGAAGGGAATGCAGGGGTTGTTACCTCGCTGCACCATGTGTTATCTAAACCAATCCACTGCCCGGTCCCTGACAGCAGACACGCCCTGCCTGGCTGTGCACCTACTCCCCCTCCTCCTCGCCTTGCTGTACCCCAGACTTGAGCTAGAAATCCCAGGTCTACTTGTCAGACAGAGCTCTGGGTCTCCTGCAGGATGGGGTGGCGTATGGAGGCTCCTGGGGGGCTCACCCTGGGGTTTCCTGCTTTGATTTTCCAAGCTTCAGACACTGCGTGCTCCGTTTGACTGAGAACAACTCACAGCCTTTGATGACCAAGCTACAGTGGCTCTTTGCCTTCCTGGAGCTCAGCCAGGTGAGTAGCAGGGGATAGCATGGGGGCACAGATCCTGGTAGGCCAGGTGAGGGCGCCTCACGAGCTGTGCTGTGCTGTCGCAAGCGAGTCAGCTCTCTAGGCTGGTGGCTTCATCCACTGCGCCATCATTGTTTGAGCCCCTTATCCCCCCACATGCTGCGGGCTGTCAAGGAGGCCGTGGTGACAGATAACACTGAAAGCCTTGGCCAGGCATTCTGCATGGCCCAGAGAGGAGGACACCACAGCCCTTGCCTCCTAGAGGTCCTGGCCTGGTGGCATGGCACTTAAACAGGGAATCAGCATGTTATGGGCCTGCAGGGAAAGGAGGGGTGGAGTAGGAAGGATGGAGGAGGGCGCCTTGGGAAGACATCTTGGACCAGGGGACACTGGAGGGGAGATTCTGTTTGGGCAGCAGGAAGGGCAGTGATCAAAGGTCTGGGGAGAAGGTAATAAGTGTCTGGGAATTGTAAATCCTTAGAGCAGTGGTTATCTGCCAGGGTACCAGCCCTAACACATCATCACAGGTCTGGTAGGCACAATTGTACAGCAATAAGTAAAGATTATAGTAAAGTCATAAAGAGCATGAGAGATAGAAGAGAGATTGAAATAATGGAGTCAGACACATTTCATGGTAGCAATGCTCACCTCAGCCTCACTTGGTGGTCCATGTGGAGAGAGAGATATTTAATGCTAACCAAGGCTTTTATATCCTCTGGGGACATGCAAGCCCCCAAATTACAGGTGAAGACATGCGTCACAGGAAAGGGTTGTGCTATAGGTAATACAGTAATGGGGGTGGTCTAGGGGTATCCACGCAATAGGAAGAGGAGGGATTGTGGGTATACACGTGGCAAGATGGGTGGATCCTAGATTCAGGATGGCAGCCTAACAGCCGGTTTTACCTGTTCCCTGGCTCAGCTGATAGAGACCATTATCAGTAGGGTGTGAACTCCACCTACAGGAACCAAGCTAATGGTCGCAAGCCTCTGGAGAAATAATAGCCCACTGTCCCCGGCAGCAGGTAGCAGGCCCACCCGTGGTGGGATGAGACAGCAGCAGTCTGGCAGCTGATTGCCTCAAGGGAAGTAACTTTTACCCTTAGCTGCAAGCAATGTCCTAAGTCTAACATATTTGGGGGAGACTTGATTTGGGAGAAATCTTTCTGTTTCCCACAGTTCTGAACCTTCCTAATGCCGCAGCCCTTTAATACAGTTCCTCATGTTGTGGTGACCCCTAACCATAACCTTATTTAGTTGCTACTTCATCACTGTCATTTTGCTACCCTTATGAATCAGGCAACCCCTGTGAAAGGGTCATTGGACCCCCCAGAGGGGTGAAGACCCACAGGTTGAGAACAGCTTCCTTAGAGGAAGAGCCTGCGCACGTTCATCTGGATGCTGGATGCCTCCACATCGTGATCAGAGTGGGCCTGGCAGGATGGGACGGATGGGGCGGGGGCACCTAGGAAGGGCCAGAATTCGGTCAGGAAGCTGGGAAGGGGGTGGGGGGGTGGGGCAGAGACTCTCTCTGCCCAAGGCTGACGGTTTTGCCTTGTCTTGGTCCTAGCGGCCTGCCATTTCCCCAGAGAACTTCCTTTCCGCATCCTGGACCCCCTGGTTCAGCCCGGGCACCCAGCAGGACTGCTCCGAGTACCTGAAGTACCTGTTGGATCGGTAAGGGAGCGCTAGGGCTCGGCCTCGTGGGGTGTGGGTGGTGGTGGCAGCCCGGGGCTCCAGGTCTAGAGAGGGTCCATGGAGAAGACCCATACTCCATCTTCCCGGCAACGAGGCTGTGTTGTGCTTGTGCGAGTCATGGAGCCGGGGGCAGGGTGGGGGGCAGGGTGGGCACCGAGTGTGAGGGCGGCGGGGGGCGGCAGTGTGAAGGCAGCAGGGCACCGAAGCACCCACTGCGTCAGTGGGGAAGGGGAGGTGGTGTCTCCACACTGCTGCGTGTGCCTGAGCCTGCCCTTGGCGCACGTGTGTGTCACTGGCCCGGGAGCACACCCACTTGGCATGTCTGTGTGTGGGCGAGTGGAGAGCCGCGGGCACGTGCCCGCGCCCTTCTCCGCCTGCAGCGTGGCCAGAGGACCGGGTGGCCGCGGCGCTCTGCATGCGCGCCAGCCTGCTCACTCCCCGCCGCAGGCTGCACGAGGAGGAGAAGACGGGCGCCCGGATCTGCCGCACGCTGCAGCAGTCCCGCTCGCCCTCGCCGCCCGAGGAGGCCCCCAGCCCCAGCCCGACGTCCGTGGAGAAAATGTTCGGGGGCAAGATCGTGACCCGCATCCGCTGCCTGCGCTGCCTCCACGTCTCGTCCAGGGAGGAGGCCTTCACGGACCTGTCCCTGGCCTTCCCCCCGCCCGAGCGCTGTCGCCGCCGCCGCCTGGGCTCCGTGATGCTCCCCGCGGAGGAGGCGCGGGCCCCGGCCCCCGGGCGGCGGCAGCGGAAGCACTGCATCACCGGGGACGCCCCGCCCAGCGTCTGGGACCTGGCCGGCCTGGCCTCCCCGGGGCCCGGGCGGCCGCGCGGGGAGCAGGCGCAGGTGCAGGTGCGCGGGGCGGAGGAAGGGGAGGCGCCGGAGGAGGCGGTGGGAGCGGACCCGCGGGAGCAGGAGCGGCAGGAGGAGGAGAAGGGCGAGAAGGAGCAGGAGAAGGAGGCCGAGAACGAGAAGGAGGACGACGAACCCAGCCCAGCGCCGGGCGCGCGCAGGGATGCCGCGGGCCAGGCGGGCGGCCCCGAGGGCTCGCGCTCGGTCCTGGACCTGGTCAACTACTTCCTGTCTCCCGAGCGGCTGACGGCCGAGAACCGCTACTACTGCGAGCCGTGCGCCTCGTTGCAGGACGCCGAGAAGGCGGTGGAGCTGAGCCAGGGCCCGCGCTACCTCATCCTCACGCTGCTGCGCTTCGCCTTCGACCTGCGCACCATGCGGCGCCGCAAGATCCTGGACGACGTGGCCATCCCCCTGCTGCTGCGCCTGCCGCTGGCCGGGGGCCGCGGCGAGGCCTACGACCTGTGCAGCGTCGTGGTGCACTCCGGCGTGTCCTCGGAGAGCGGCCACTACTACTGCTACGCCCGCGAGGGGACCGCCCGCCCGCCCCCGGACCGGCCCGAGCCCGAGAACCAGTGGTACCTGTTCAACGACACGCGCGTGTCCTTCTCCTCCTTCGAGTCGGTCAGCAACGTCACCTCCTTCTTCCCTAAGGACACGGCCTACGTGCTCTTCTATCGGCAGCGGCCCGGGGAGGGGCCCGGGCCCGAGCCTGGCTCCCCCAGGGCCTGGGCAGAGCCCACCCTCCACAAGGACTTGATGGAAGCCATTTCCAAAGACAACACCCTGTACCTGCAGGTGAGCCAACCCGCTAGTGCCCCTAGCCTGCCCTCCGGTGGAGAGGGCAGGTGGTGGTGTTGTGTAGGCCCCTCACCCCCCAGTCGGATGGGTCAGCCCCCCCTCCCCACATTTGTGTCCGCAGGAGCAGGAGAAGGAGGCGAGGAGCAGGGCCGCCTACATCTCTGCGCTCCCGGCTTCTCCGCACTGGGGGCGAGGCTTTGACAAGGACAAGGATGAGGACGAAGGCTCTCCAGGGGGCTGCAACCCTGCAGGTGGCAACGGGGACGACTTCCACAGACTGGTCTTCTAATGCTAACCCTGGCCCCCCAGCCCGCTTCTACCTGTGTGGGCCGCTACAGCCAACCTGGGATGGGGGTGGGGGTGGCCTTGACCTCTTCCTTCTGGGAGCAAGGTCCCGCGCAGGCAGAGGTGCTCTGCCAGGTGGGTTCTACGGCAGCTGGCCTCGTCAGGAGGGCCTGGAGACAGACCTTTCTACAGGATGGAAAGATAGGTGGTCTTCATGCTGGGATATGGAGGTGACATCCAAGCCACTGAGTTGGGCCCCCCTATCCTGGCATCATCCCCCTGAAGACTCTACACCCAAGTGTCCTGGTGAACTGGCCTCTGCTTAGATGTTCAAGCTCTGGGCTTTGCTCGCCCTGGCGCCCCCACTCTGCTCCACCCGCCGCTCCTGGAGCACGCAAGCGGCTGTTCAGGAAACAGCAGAACCTCACCGCTCCTTTCCCCGCCAAGCATCATTTCCGCCCCAAGTCCTGAGAACCATGGCTCCAGTGTCAACCGCAGAGCAGGCCCCCAACCCGGGCTCAAGGCATGGGGCGTCGGGCCACACCTCGGGCCTTGCCTGTTTCTGCCTCAACCACACCCAAATGGCTGGGTTAGGGGCCACCCACGTGGGTGCCTTACATAGGTTCTGAATGTACTTTTCTGAGAAGAGGGGTGAGAAGCAGCCTGTCACGGGTCCAGAGGCCTAGAATATGGCATCAGGCAGGCCCCACACAAGCCAAGAAGCCGAGGGAGGCCAGCCTCCCTCACAGGGAAAAGCCCAGAACCCCGACTTTCTCCCCACCAGCCTGCCCCAGTAAGTGCTGAGATGTCACCATTCGCAACCCCCCCTTTCTGATTAGGGAAGGGGCCTTATTTTACTGCAGGTAATTGTCTGTCTGGACTCCAGCGTCCATTCTGAGGAAGGCTGGCCGGCCTAGATGGTGGGGAGAGCAGGGTTGGGCCCTGGAGTCGGGACACTGATGGTGGCCTCTGAAGGGTGGATTGGGGTGGGCTCGGTGAAGAGCAGATGTTGACTTCATGGGCAATAACTCCCAGAGAACAGAGAGCAGCAGCCTGTTCTCAAACAGGAATTAAAATAAGTTCTTCGAACCCTTTTCAGGAGTCATTCTTGACTGTCCCTACAGCTGTGCGGTCTTGGGTCTCACACTGTCCGGGCAGTGCCCAGGGTGGGGTCTGACGGAAGCCTCTCGTTCTGTATGACCTGGGGCACACTTCCCTCCCTGGCCCTGGCTTCCCCTGGGTCCCTCTGCACCCACCCCTCTGGGAGAACACAGAGGACACACTGTTGACTTTGGAGACACACCGAGCACGGAAGGCAAGAGCTCTCCGTGAACCGAAGACCCACACTCCTGCCATCTAGCTGATTCTGATCAATGCGGACCCTATAGAATACAAACGCCCTGGGGCTTCAAGACTCAATCTTTAAGGGAGTAGAAAGCCTCACCGTCTCCCAAGGAGTGGTTGACAGTTTTGAACTGCTGACCTTTTGCTTTGCAGGCTAACTTTAAAGTGTGCCTTACCTAAAGGGGCAGACTTGACTCGTGCAGCTGCTGGCCCCCAAGCACCAGTGGAGTCCTCAGCCTCCAGGGGGCGGGTGGACACCATCTGGGGTGGGGAGTTTCTTCTTAAGATGCTGGCAAAGGGGGTTGCTTTATCAGGTAATGCTGGAGCCTCAATTTCTTGGAATTTTAGACCCAGGGTTCAAGGACTCCGTGTTACCCCACCAATACATGTGGCCAATACCAGATTCCTGCTTTCCCCTGGAGAAAGCTGGCTGGGGTGGAGGAGGGAAGGGGCCTCTCCTGGGCTAGACTTGTGCATCCGCCTGGGAAGAGCCAGGAGGTGGCTGAGCGGGAGAGCAGCATAGGGCAGTCCTGTGTGCAGGCCCCTCTGTGCACCTACTCTGCCCACTCTCTAGGCAGGCAAGGAGAGCGATGGGAATGCCTTGGGCTTCCAGGGCCAAGTGCTTGAACAGCAGGTGAAGGAGCTAAGTGTTGGTCCACAGACCCCTGATGCCAGACTTTTGGGACCAGTGGAAGTAGACTAGGGGTGACACAGTGTATCAGGGCCTGCATCTCTCTCTGGACTCCCAGTCCAGCGTGCCTTCCGGGAGGCGGACGCTGTTAAGAGTTTCACTTGACAGATTTTATATCAAGAGGGTTCCTCCTCACCTCTGGCCAAGACACGTGATTTCCCAGTGAAATGGACCTGCAACAGATGGCGCCAGGCCTCCTCGGTTACTGGGAGGGAGGGTTCTGAAGTGAATGTTTTGCCCAGAGTGTGAGTGCCGGCTACTCCCTGCGGACCAGGGACTGTCACCCATCCTCAGGTGAGGTCCCAGCTGGGATTCAAGTCTGCATGGACTCCATGCACGCCCCTATCAGACAAGGCAGACTCAGTGCTCCTCTGTGGCTTGCGTTTCTAAGGACTTTATTGTTGTCCTGCCCCGACAGACACCACAGCAAAAAGGGACCCGCCAGCGCCAGGCCTGTACCATGTGTCACCACATCGAAAACATCACCCACTTCAACAAGTGCCCACCCCACCCCCCAGACCTACTCACAAGATAAATAGGTGTTACAAATTTTTTTCAAGAATAAATTAATAACTTAAGTGATTAGGCACCAACAGTGATTTGAAAAATTAAACGTAAATTTTAAATGGCAATTGGACAAAAACTGAAGACTGGGCTTCTACTAGCCCCTTACTTCCCCTTCCCCACAAATTGTGGTGATTCTTGTGCGAAATGATTCTAAATTTCTAGACACACATAACCAACAAATACAAAATAACACACACCAACTGTCACATGACAGCCTGAATCTCCAATGGGCCCCTCAGCAGTTGGGCCAAGGTCCAAAAAGATGTCCCCAGCAGGAGGGTTCGTAAGACCTCAAGTGGCCAGCCCCCTCCTCCCCGCATTAGAGTTGAGGGTCCAGAGAGGGGAAGAAGTATAGATTTCCCATCTGTTGAGCCCTCCTCTTCCCGAGATCTGTCAGAGGGATCTGGGTGGGGGCTGGGTTGGTAGGCCCAAGGTCCTGGCCCAAGTCTGAGACCTTTGGCCAAGTGGCAATGAAAGAGGCCGAAATGCTCACTGGGGTTGAGCTCATGCTCCCAAAACTTCTGAACAGTTGTGCTTCTGTCCAAGGAATAGGGCTTATTTTAAGTTTCACACATGGCTTACCAAAATCAAGTGAGGGAGGAAATGGAGTTAAGTGGTAACCCAGCTCCTTAGGGGAAATTCCTTTTTAAAGTCTGAGCACCAGTCGTAGAAAGGGCCTGTGGCCATCTAACCCAACCACTTGTTCCACTGGTGGGCAGACCAAGGTCCGGAGATGGCACCATCTCCCATATAGCACATACATCTTCCCTCTTGTCATATTGGCCCGACTCTACTCTTCCGGAACCTTGTGGAGGTGGAGGCTCATGAGGGCGGGCAGCTGCTTCTGAGTGAGCCCCAGGCAAACGAGTCCCCGTCAGAGCTATGCTGGCTGAGAAGGCACCTTCAGTCTGGGGTCTCACACCTAGCAGGCCAACAGGAGCAGCAGACTCTGACCCACTGTTAAGGCAAAAAGATCAGGTTTTATGCTGCCTTAATTTTTTTTAATTGAGTCACTTTTTGTTTTGTTTCAGCTTTCCTCTTTGGGGTGCCTAGTGCGGGAAACATGTAGACACGGCTAGCGGTTTCGGGCTTGTGTGACAGCCTCTCTGCTTCGGGCCGCGGTCACTCTTCTCTTGTACTTCCGTCTCTGTCCTCAACTCCATCCCGAGAGTTTGGGCAGGTCCAGTAGCCTAGTGCTGGGAGGAGGCCCTTGTAGATCAAATCAGAACACCGCTGTCTTAAGACTCCAGCCAGTTTCATTCGCACCTTGGTGCGCTCAGGAAATGCTAACCACTGTAGGGCACCCAGGCACCGAGAGGGGAGGATGCCAGGCTGCCTGTTTCGGGCCTCGGCGCCTGGGCCCACCTGAGTCTGCAGGGGTTGCACAGTGAACGAATAGCCTGTCAACTTGCGTCCTGTCTGTCGGTCGCTGCTCTCACCGCTGCCTAACTCTGGGAACACGGACACCTGGGTCTATTGCTTCTGAGGGGCTGGGCCCAAAGGCCTTCTGTTCCCGACCTGTGATGCTCCTCCCGTTTTCCCAGAAATCTTCCTCCCTGACTCTGTCACCCCCATCTGCTGCGGACACCAGCTTCCTGGGAGAAGACTTCTTTGCTTCCCCTGCGCTCCATTGGGCAATGAGGTTTTCTCTTTTGCGTCATCATGCCTAACCCCCATCTTTGGCTTCTTCTCACTTGACTTGTGACCTTCTCAAGGGACAAGATCTGAGTAGCTCCTGTGCTCTCACTGCCTAGCCCAGATCCTGGCCACGGGTGGCTTGGTACGAGGAGCAAAGGGACTATTGCTGAGGAAATAATTTCTCCCTGGATGTAATTAAGAGTGGTCAGGCCGGTGGTCTGGTGCAGTGTGCATGCGTGCCCACACAGGAGTTGAAAGAGACAGGGCAGCCGTGCCCATCAAACACAGCAGGAGACAGGTTTTGTTTTTCTGGAGGAAGGAGGCCTACTTCCCCCAGAATGGGATGAAACATCTTGACTGGCCAGTTCCCTATGAAACTCTTGAACATTTGAACAAGAACGTCCGACTTAAAAAAATGCAGATACCTTCCTCCCTAGACATCCAAGCAAGGGCCTGGGCAGTGACCCTCGTTCTTCCCATCCCGGGCTGAGCTGGGCTGGGAGGGAAAATGTGGTTCTGACAGCCTTCCAGGCCCTGGGAAGATAGGACTGGCCTGCCCTGTCGCTGCAGCCAAGTGTGAGTGTCATGTGGCGCCTGGAGTGGTAGGGCCAGGAGAGGGTCACGTTGAGGTAGAAAACCCTTGTGACGGGTCCTGGGACATGGCACAAACCCCAGCCAATGGCACAGGCTGACAGCGCATACCTGTGTCGTCCTCTGGGCACAGCTGCCCCCTGCTCTCTCTCCTTAAACGGGTTCATCCACTGACCTTCAGCCCTAAGCTACTCTATCAGGCTACCATGCGTAGGGCCACGCCTACAGGCCCAACGCTCCTTCCTTCTGGTGGGCTGTGCACCTCCATGGCCCTGCCCTGGGACCCTGGCTGCCACACTTCCTTGTGTCCCCGCACTTGTTGCGTGGGGGCCCCCGCCGCTCACTCCCTAGACATTCTGGCCTCTGCATCTCCTGGTCTGCCACTGGGCCTGTGCCTCCGCCCTGTGCCACAGCCCATCCTGTGGCAACAACATACCGGCTGCCCGTGTACTGCTCTGTCCCTAGCGCAGGTGGGCCCCCGGCCCCTGCATCACTTCTATCCCCACCCCTCTGCCTGCACAATGCCAATCTTGCTCACAGCTCTCTCCTCTCCACCCCTGCACATGCACACCACACACTGCCTCATCTGGCACAAGCCCAGCCCTTCTCCATCATGGTGTTCGTGGGCGGGAGGGGGTCCTCCAGGAGGGGGACACTGTTTCAGAGGGCACTGAGACCCCGCAGTGCCTTTGCTCCCCCAGTACTCCAGCCTCTGGGCCTTGGTGCTTCATCACCAGGCTTCCCCCTTCCTTTGGTCCTTCATGCTCTGCCTCGCCCAGCTCAGTCACTGCCCTGCCCTGGGCCAACTGCCCTGCTAGTCTGGGGATCCAATCCCTGGGCTCTTCCCCCTGGACCGCCTCGGGCCTTCCTTCTCCAGAATGTCATCCCTTAGTGGCCCTGTCCTCTCCCACTCCCCTCCCCTCCCCTCCACTGAGAGAACTGGGATGAGAAAGTCCATGTCCACTGTGGCCGCTGGTCCCCGGCCCCCTGGGTCAGCAGGGTGACTTCTCTTCTGGCAAGGCAGGAGTGGGATGCTAGGTGGTCGGAGGGGAGCGGTGAGGGACTGGACAGAGGGTGAAGTGTGGGCTCCGGCCCTTAGCCCCATCCCTTCCTCCAGCGCGGGGTAGCTCTTCAGGCCCATGAGACAGGTAGAGGCTGAAGGATGCCTTTTGGCAACAGCAGCGCCTAACGAAGGTGGGTGGGGCCAGGGCCACGACTGACAGAAATCCGAAGGCGGACCTAGAGTGGGCAGCAGAGGTGCTGCCACTGGCCCTCAACTCCCAGGGGAAGGGCTCAGGGTCCCTGATGTCAAGTGCTTTGAAGGCCAAGAGCGGCAGAGTGGAGGGGAGGTGGGGGGTAAAGGGAGGGGAGGGAGAGGGGAGTTGGAGAGGAGCCAGCTCTGCAGAGGTGGCCTTCTGGCCCCTCCCCAGGCTCGGGGGCCCCCGGGTCACAGCTTGGCACCCTTGGAGGGCTCCGAGGCCTGCCGCACGTCCGTCCACTCCTGCATGGTGTTCTGCAGGGCTTGCGTCTTCTCCTTGTCCACTTGAACGTAGTCCACCTTCTCATCGGAAGTGACAGAAGACGTGGATGGCTGAGGGGACAAAAGGGAAGGGCGGAAGTGGTTTGACTTATTAGCAATGGGGAGAGATTTCCCCAAGAGGAGCTTCCCCGGAAGGTGGGCCTCTGCCTGGGTGCTTTTTCTGACGGTGGCCGACCACTGGATCTTGACTCCCCATGCCCCCTGTGTGGTGCACCAGCTCCTGCCAGGCCTGCCCAGAGGTCGGGTCCTTCGCTGGCTCTGGTGCAGGGAACCAGGCCTGGCTCTTTGCTGCCATGCACCTCCCTCTGGTCGCCCATCACGAACAAGTGCCAGCCACAGAGTCACACCTGTGTGCCCTTGGCATACCCTCATATCCCCCGGTGAGGAGGAGGTGCATGTGGGCGGAGCTCCCACACTGCTGGCCACAGGGGCTAGCTAAGCAGGCCTCTTGTGAGGTGGCTCCTGAGGGCCCACAGTCCCTTCCATAGGGCATCAGTGGCAGACCTCTGGGACACCCCCCGACATACCCCATGCCCTCCCTCAGCCCCCCGCCAGGCATGTGAATGGTCTTCAAACCAGTGCTCAAGACCAGAACAGTCCCTCGTCTCGGCTCTGTGAGGAACCCCTGCTGGTGCCGGGTCCCTAGGAGTCCATACGGCAGAGTCGTTCCTGTGCAGTGCTAAGCACACACTGCTTCCTGTGTGCACCGAGGACGCGAGGTATGAGCAAGTGGATTGCATGATGGCTGGGCTCTAGGGAGCCAGGGGCCATGCCCAGAGACAGAGGAGGGTGGGGACCCCAGCCCTGAAGGTCCACAAGTGCTGGGCCTGGGACAGAAGAATGGCTAAGAGCAGCCTGTCAGAGCTGAAGATACCTGGGCCTCCATGGACCCCCAAGGCACCCCCTCCCCACCCTACCCAGGCACCTTGCGATGGGGGCTGGGAGAGCTGGGCTGGAAGTCCAGGGCCAGGTAATCGACACTGCCGGTGCTCTTCTTGGGGGCCGGGCTGTTGGTGCCACTGGGAATGGGCGACGCAGACACTGGGTTTTGCTGTCAACAGGAGAAAAACAGAATGTGGCCGTGGGCTTAAGAACCTGGCATTCCCACCACCCAGCAAACATGCGCTGGGAGACAGAGCCGTCCTGACGGACCCGCCTGCTCCTGCTCTGGCCCTCAGCGCTGGGCTTCGGGACTCTTCGTAGGGCTCGCTGAGAGCCAGGCCCGGTCAGTCCTGATGCTCATGAGGATCCCCATGGTTCACAGCAACACGGTGAGGAGACGTGCAGGGGGCCAAGAGCTGGGCAGCACTGGAGCAGTGTGGGGCTAGTGCCAGCACCCCCGGCCCTGCTGCCTCCCTGTGAGTCTCCAGGGACTGCCCCCTGAGAAAGGAGCTCTGTTCATTTCTGCACTATATGCTGGAGGGGTGGGGGTGGAGGTGGCAGGGATCCCTTGATTCCTTGGTGGCATCAAACCCTCCTCTGAAACTCTCTGCCCCGCCCCACCCCACGGCCTGGAGCAGGGTGGGCCATCTGGATTGGCCTGGCTCACTCCAGCCCCCATGGGGCCAGGCCGCTGCTGCCAGCTAACCAGAGCCCCCCTCTTTCTGTAGTTCTTCATCCACACCCTCCAGGGGCCCAGTTCCCAAGATGCACCACATTGTCTCCGATTTTCCCAGTCTCACTCTTGTGAGCAAAGGGATAGCCCTGTGTGCTCCTTTGGGTCACTGTCGCCTGACTTGTTGGCTGGTTGGTTCGTTCAGTACTTGCACAGTGGCTACCAGGTGCCGGGCAGCGGGGCACCCTGCCATGCTGGGGCAGGGTCTTCCTGCAGGGTGGCCGTGGTTGGCACAGGGAAACTGGCGCGCGTCGCACTAGAAGCAAGCCCTCCCCTTTGCTCATGGGGATTAGAGGATGAGGAAATGAACACAGGCCCTTGGGTGTGTTAGGGATTTTGACTAGGCAGATGAAGGAAGCTAACGTCAGAGGGCGTTTGTGCTGTTCTCTGCTGGCTCCCGATGACCACCCTGATACAGCTACCTAATCCTTGCCCAGCTTGTGCAGAGGCCGTGTGTGGTGCCCCGACCCTGGGGACTGTCCAGCGTCCGAGACAGCAGTCCATGATGTCCACCCACAACCTGCTCATCCTTCCCCATGCCCTGCGCAGTTTGGGTGGGGTCCCTTTCTGCATTCCTGCACCCACCCCACCCCCAGAGAGCTCCGTTCCAGGCCTCCCCTGCCCGCTCTCCCCCAGCTGGACATGATCCTGCCTCTGCCCCTTCACGTCCCCGTCCTGTCCCCGTGTTCCTCTCAGGAGCGAGGCCCGCCTTCCTCACCTCTGACCCCATGCACGGCGTGTGCTCAAGGAGAAGACCAAGACACACTTCATGCAGCAAGTCCCTGGGGCGGGCGACCCCAGGGACCATAACGGCCGCCATTCCTGCCCGCCCCCCAGGACTCACCATGGGGACGTAGTTCTCTTCACTGTCTCCCGAGTCCGTGCTGGTGACACTCTGGGTGGAGATGGGGCGGCAGTACTGTGAGGAGCTTGAGTTGAAGCTGTGGCTGTTGGGGGAGGGGGGACAAGGAGTGAACCCCGGGAGTCTGCAGCGTTGTCCCGGCCCTCACGCCCCAGCGCTTCATAGCCATCAGGTGCAGCTCTGACCGCAGCCCCCCACCCTGTGGT